GGTACCGTTGGGTGGATGGCTTGCGGAGCCGTGGATGAGGCGAGAGGATCGTCGGCGCTGCGCGTGGAAGCATATTTGGAATTGAGAGTCCCCGATGGAAATGAAACGGATTCACATGTACCAGGAGAAGTGAACCAATCTCTTTTTTTCGTCAATGGACACGACAGCTTCTTGTTTCCTTTCCAGTTTAGCTTGTTGCAGACGTGTGCACATTTTGAGCGTGACGGCTGTGAGCGAAAGTACACTTTTGACACTCCTCTTCCATCTCGATCTGCTTCGAACAACAACGCGTATCAGGAAAAGTGCCTCGGATTGCTCGACTGTCCGTGTTTTATGTTATGTATTTTGTTGTGATGTGAACTGTTTTATGTTATGTTTATGTTAAGAAACCAGCCTTGGGACGACGGCTGAAAACGAGCATTTGTGCTAATTCCGGTTGAAGCAGAGCTGTATTTTTTTTTTAAAAACATTGCTGTCTCTGATCCAAAGTTTGGGAGGTCTTTTATTTGATATTTTTCTCCAACGTCACTGTGTTTTTCCTGTTCATGCACATGATCATTTTTTATCACTGTTGACAAGTTTGTCTGATTCACTCTGCATTGCTGTCAGTTGTCATGTCATTTCACACTTTGTCCAGCGGGATCATTCTCAATAAAGCCTCCGAAAAAAGGAAAACAAAGCTTGTGACGATGCCTCAAAAAACGAATAAAGTGAAACGCCGTCCTCCGGTGTCGAATTTGAGTTACTATCACTACGTCCGCCCGTTTAATTTTTGAAATGAATCCAGTGGAAACGTAGTAAAAGGAGGACATAAAATATGAGTATATGGATTCATAGTGGTGCTTCGTGGAATAATAAGTTATCTGCTAACTTGTCGACGCACTTCGTCGACTTTCATCTTTGGCTGCGCTGAATATGTTCGTTGGGCAATTCTCAATGCAGAGAGACAGATTGAGACACCTTGCGGAATCTGCGACCGCCCAGTCATGACAACTAAATGTCTACCAGTTGGCTCGTGAATAAGGCCGTTAAATGCGACAAGAAAATTCGGCGAGATCCACCGATCGATGGACTAGTGGGATAATACTTGGATACCGGTGCGCACAGTCAAGGTTCAATTCCCACGCAGTGCGTCGTTCGCATAAATAAGCGCAACGGGAAACTGGGATCAAACCAAGAGCCCGGGATTCGTTGGCAGTGTCTCATACCATTTGACGACATTGCCTTTAAAATTCAACCTCGTTTTGTTGTATTTCAGTTAGTTGAATGTATCGAATATTGCCTACGTATGTTTAGGTTGAATATGACATCCCGCAGTGCACCTGACACCCAGAAATGACTTGATGGTTAAGAAACAGTTTGAGACTCAGAAGACCCCGGTTCGAATTCTCTTCTCTCTTTGCTCCTTTAAGCGTCATTTTTAATATTGCCTGGGTATATATTCGTTGTATATGACATTTCGTGATGCTGCAGGCACTTAAAGATGCCTTGATGGTAACACAATTGCTTGCGATTCGGATGACATCGGTTCGAATCCCCATGTGTCTCAGCGTCGTAATTTCTGCTTTTTTTGAATATTGCCTAGGTATGTATTGGTTGAATATGACATTCCGTGATGCAGCAGTCACCCAAGAATGGCTTGATGGTTACGAAACTGCTTGTGACTGGGATGACCTAGGTTCGAATCCTCCCATATTTTAGCACCTTTCAGCATATTACCTGAGTATATATTCGTTGAATATGACATCTCGTGGTGCAGCTGTCACCTCGAGATGGCTTGATGGTAAGGCAACTGCTTGCGGTTCTGATGACCGGGGTTCGAATCTCCTCGTGTCTAAGCTACTTTTAGCATCATAGTTCGTTTGAAATATTGCCTGGGTAAATATTCGTTGAATATGACATCTCGTGATGCAGCTGTCACCTCGAGATGGCTTGATGGTAAAGCAATTGCTTGCGGTTCTGATGACCGGGGTTCGAATCTCCTCGTGTCTAAGCTACTTTTAGCATCATGGTTCGTTTGAAATATTGCCTGGGTAAATATTCGTTGAATATGACATCTCGTGATGCAGCTGTCACCTCGAGATGGCTTGATGGTAAAGCAATTGCTTGCGGTTCTGACGACCGGGGTTCGAATCTCCTTGTGTCTACATTCCTTTCGGCATCATTACTTTTTTTTTTATTTGTTTTTATAAATAAAGTTTTGTTTTAAAAAAACGGATGACGTCATCAACCTGAGCCTATTTAAGGTGCGACTAATTGCCGGAACGTTCTCTCTCCACTTGGCTGCCAGACTCCGGTCGGTTGACACCGTCCGATTGCTGCTCTCCACGCATTTTGACGAAGGTCAGTATTTAAGGTGATTTTGACACACATTTTCAACAATGTTAAACGTGCCCTGAAGCAATGATTATCATTGCGGTCCTGTTTCAAACTTTCTTTGCAGCATTTGAAGAGAAGCTCAGCTTGGCAGAAGGTAAGTTTCCAACTTATTTTGTCATTCCTAAACAAACGTCATGACCATCTGTGTAAATGATTTGTCATTTCTTCCTACAGGTGTGCAGTTCGAATCAAAATGGCTGACTCTGCGTATCCTTTCAACGTGGCTTCTTCAAACATTTTGTTGCAATGACCCAATTTCAACACATTTAACTTTGTTACCTTGTCTTGCAGGTCATCGAGGAGGTGTCCGGTTCTTGTCACAAGTAAGGAAAAAAAAAAAACTCAAAAAAATTCAAATTCAACTTGTCCCCTTTTTTTCTCCCCCCAGCACACAGATCACGGGTGAGGTGAGAACATGTATTTTGTCCAAAATGTCATTTGTGAAAACTGATCTGTTCACGAAACGCTATTAACTTTGAGTGTTGTGGTGTCTTACCAAGTCTGGGCCTCTGTTGCAGTTTTCCGAGGGCGCAATCACCGCAGCTGGTTGAACAAGATGGCGGCGTTCGAGAAGGGCAATTTGGGTTGGTGGACACTGCAAAACAAAATGGCTGACTAACACTTTGAATTTTTTTTTCTTGCAGGCTCGTGAAATGGTTTGGAACAATTTTTGCAAGTCAGTCTTGACAAATTCTTGAACAAATGCGATGCCTTTTTTTTCTTTGCAGGTGGGGAAAAGAAGGCATTAAATTGCGAGGTAAGATGCAAATGAACTCAGAAAATGAGATTGACGAGTGCTCACCTGTTTGCAATTTTCTTTTGACTTTGTGTGCAGGGCGGCTTCCAGTCCAATTGACGTGGTGGACAATCCTGCCCCCCCCCACCCAAAAAAGAAATTAAACCACAGTATGCACTTAACCTTCCACGTGCTCACGTTGGTTTTCCCTTCTGCTCTTGTCCACTAGGTGGCGCCAAAGCATCACATATCCTGTGACCTTGTCCAGCAACCACTTTTTCCATAAAGGCTGATGTCAAATGGTTTGGAAGAATTTTTGCAAGTTATTGACAAATACTTGGACAAGTGCTCCGCCTTTTTTTCTTTGCAGGTGGGGAAAAGAAGGCATGAAATTCCGACGTCAGCTCCAAACGAGCACTCACCTGTTTCCAAATTTGACTTTGTGTGCAGGGCAGCTTCCAGTCCAATCGGCATGGTGGTGGACAACCTTGGCTGTGGAAAAAAATGGAGCTGCTGGGGGAGAGTGTCAGTCCTTTGCCTTAAAAGGTGTGTTCTTTTGAATGCACTCTGCTTCGCAACCATGATTTCATTTTTTTTTCCAAAAGGTGCTGAACATGTTCATCTTCCAGCCGTCCACTTTGCCGATCGTCTTCCTCACTGTTACCATCTTGCGCCATTTGCTGCACAACAAGGAGAGGTAACTTTTTGTCTTGCAGGCATCCAGGCTGTCCTTGTTGGCCGACCACTTCTCGAAGACTCGTCGATGTCATCCTGCTTGTGACTTAAATGTTTGCCACTTGAACTCTGCAAAATGAAATAAAGCTTGTTACAAATGCAACACTTGTTTGAACTCTTCTCCTCATTCTAAAAACATTTATTTTCATTTTAAAAATCAAAATTTTTTTGAGAATTTTTTTTCTGGATTTTTTTTTTTCCCCCAGGATTTTTTTTCCGTGGGGAAATTTCAATGAAAGGGGGGCGTGGCCATATCAGACAAACGCTCACTGATTTGCTGGTGGCTCCCAGAAGTGGGCGGGGTCGGTACGTTGATTGGTCTCACGCGATAATGGGCGTACCTATGCAAAACGGAGCGCGACCATTGGCTGGAGAAGGGGGCGTGGTTATGCAAATATATGCAGATCTCTGCGATCTGATTGGTCCGTTGCCCGCTAATATGCAAATTTATGCAAATCTCTCGTTTCTGATTGGGCCGTATAATGAGGTGGGCGTGGTTATGCAAACGAGATGGACGCCATTGGTCGGCTCCGATTTGTGGGCGGGGCGTCGCCGTCATGAGCCATTTTCTTCTAAGACTTTTGGTCTCTTGCCCAAGTCGACACAGCAACTCATGCACAGACCCACACGAGACAGCTCGTCGGAGTGCTTTTGGGTGAAAAACCAAAGTATTCGCCCTCTCCGTTTGAGGAACACTCTGCTTCCCACTCAGAAACACTCCGACTCAAGCTGTCCCATGCGACGTCTGCACATGAACTGACTAAGTCGGCTCGGACCAGAGGCCAAAAGTCTTCCCCAGCAGTCCACTTGCCCTGAGAAAACAATCACATGTCGGGAGACGCAATAAAAACAACAAGACTGCACTTCAACTTGGACAGTTTATTGAGGAGAAAAAGCTGGGACGACTTTGTCGCCCAAACAGTGATGGCATGGGAGCAGTTTGAGCAGCTTGCCTGTCATCTCACTCATGGGCACATAAGCACATTGTGCAATGAGCTGGCCAGCCACATCAGCAAATGCCTTTGGACACCTTTGGCTTCACAGTGACACTGATGCGGACCAAGTTATTTTTAAAACAACAATCATTAATTTTTTTTTTTTTAAGTCTCTCTTTTTTTAGATAGGTACTTTTAACAGTTTGAGGTAGTCACAATATTTGGAACAACTCAAAATACACGTTCAATATATTTTCAATTACTTTTTTTAGCCTCAGCTGCCATTTTTTAAGAACAAGGGAGATGTGCTACAGAGGAATAAAGGTGAGGAGCCATACAATGAAACTATGGGAAAGAGTAGTTGAAACTGGACCAAGAGCAAAAGTGAGCATTTGTGAGCAGCAGTATGGAGGCAGAGCTGGAGGTAGCAGAGATGAAGATTTTGGAGAAAAAGTCAGAGACCGGACTGAGATGGTTCAGACATGTCCAAAGGAGAGAGGGTGAATATAATGGGAAAAGGATGCACAGTCTCAAACTGCCAGGCAGGAGGCCGAGAGGAAGACCAAAGAGGAGGTTTGTGGATGTAGTGAAAGAGGACATAAAAGGTAGCTGGCTTGAGAGAAGAGGATGCACAAAGCGGGGTTTGATGGAAGCAACGGAATCGCTCTGGCGACCCCTGAAGGGAAAAGACGAAAGGAAAAGAAGAAGACTTAAGTTGCCTCAGGAAAAAAATTAACTAAACACTGTGAGCTAAGTCATGAAACAATGTTTATTTCTACATTTAAATTATTTGAATCACATCACAGTGACGTTTTAAAAGGCATCCAGAACTTAAATCTGCTTTCAACTCACCCTGATTGTATCGAATTATTTATCAAATAAAGCAAATAGAAATATATTTTGAAATGTCTTGAAGGTTTTTTTTTTTAATTATAACTTGGGTCACACCAATGTCATTTCAAAGCATAACCAGAATTGTTTGCTCATGTCGTTGTCCAGCACATTGCGCTCGTGTTAACGTGAGGAGAAATGTCAAACACACAGGACTGTCTACTCACACACGTCCAAATGAAACTTCCATCTGCTGATCCAAAACTCCGTTCCTGTCGTGCAAAAAACAAAACAAAATAAAACAAAAGCAGTGAGCGACGTTCTTTCACGCAATGTAAAAATATTGTCAACATGAAGGGAAAACCAGCGAAAAGTAGCCGGCGTCGAGACGACGTTCTTTCATTGTGGTCCCCTACGTGCGTGTCAACAATAAACAAGGACATCTTTCGTGTTCGAGTGACACAACTAACTGCTAAGTTCGGTTGTACGTTTCAAGCATGCCAAACAATGTTTAAGCGACCGCGCCAGTCAGTCCACACATTCCCCTGTTTCCGGTTCAGGTGGACCTTTCACTTCCGGGTCTTTTTTGAATATTTTTTTTCCCAACCTGCTTAAAAATTAGAGGAGAGAATCATCTGGCAACTTGTGAAAAAAAAAGAGACAGCCAGAAAGAACCAAACCAACGCAGACTTTGTTTGACATATGCTGGAGATTTGGGGGAGACAACGTGCAGATGCCACTGGGGGGCTGCCTGCAACCCGGCACGTCTTTGAGTTCATCTCAGAGAGACGCCAGGACCACCGTCTCGACCGTTTTCAGAGCCTGAAATACGGCTTCCTCCACGAAATGTCAGCCTACCGCAATGGTTCTCAAACTTTTTTTCACACCAGGCGCCGGGCTCGTGAAGCCCATCCACCCATGCGAAGACCCCCCGCCCCCAAGCCCCCGAGTTGTTTCTATTCATGCATATGATTACTATTATCACCGTTGATACTTTTGTCTCCTTCACGATGCTGCTATTTGTCATGTTGGAATTTCACACTTTGTACAGGGATATCGTGATCAATAAAGCCCATCGAATCGCGTGACACGCTGCCCTCCGGTAGCAAATTGAAGTAACTGCAACTGCGGTCACTGAATGGCCAACCGTTTTATTTTTTTTTGGTTCATCCAAGTGAACGTTTCGTCGTGGCAGGATATAAAACACGAGTATTTGGGGTAATGGATTCATAGCTGATTTCCGAACAGGCAGACGGGGGTTCTTCAACTGTTTTTTTTTTTGAACCCGCAATCATCACAAGTGCCCATGGTTGTCTGTTGTTTGCCATTTGTATTTTGTCTTTGTGTGTTTTTTTGCAGTTCAGTCTGCTGTCCTTATTTTTAGCTGTTTGTGTTTCAGTGCACTGCAGGTTTGCACTGTGGTTGAGAGAGGAAAGTAATTTCATCCGTGCTGTATGTTGCACATCGATCATATTTGACAATAAAGCTTGACTTGACTTCACTTAATCACATGGGTCACCTCAGTGGTGCTTCATAGAAAAATTAGTTCACTACTCACTTGTCGACGCACTTCTTCCACTTTCATCTTTAGCTCCACTTAATTGCGGAATCCTCGACCACCGGGTCATCACGACCGACTGCCTTGTTTGCTCGTGTGTCAGCCTGTTAAATGCCACAAGGAAAATCGGCGATTTCCCCGGGCTTGTGGACGAATGATGTAAAACTTGGGTGCCCGAACCCACAATCAAGGTTCGATTGCCACTCAGTACGTCGGTCGCAAAAATAAGCGCAGCAGAAAACTGGGATCGATACAAGGGCTCATGATTCGGAGGTAACGTCTTATTCCAGTGCCTTGAAAACCTTTATCGTTTATTTATACTTGTTTCCACATTGCCTGGGTATGGATTGCTAGAATAGGACTTTTTTGGATGCAGGCGTCACCTAAAGGTGGTTTGGTGGTAAAGCAACTGCTTGCAATTCGGATGACTTTCAATTCCCACGCAGTGCGTCGTTCGCATAAATAAGCGCAACGGGAAACTGGGATCAAACCAAGAGCCCGGGATTCGTTGGCAGTGTCTCATACCATTTGACGACATTGCCTTTAAAATTCAACCTCGTTTTGTTGTATTTCAGTTAGTTGAATGTATCGAATATTGCCTACGTATGTTTAGGTTGAATATGACATCCCGCAGTGCACCTGACACCCAGAAATGACTTGATGGTTAAGAAACAGTTTGAGACTCAGAAGACCCCGGTTCGAATTCTCTTCTCTCTTTGCTCCTTTAAGCGTCATTTTTAATATTGCCTGGGTATATATTCGTTGTATATGACATTTCGTGATGCTGCAGGCACTTAAAGATGCCTTGATGGTAACACAATTGCTTGCGATTCGGATGACATCGGTTCGAATCCCCATGTGTCTCAGCGTCGTAATTTCTGCTTTTTTTGAATATTGCCTAGGTATGTATTGGTTGAATATGACATTCCGTGATGCAGCAGTCACCCAAGAATGGCTTGATGGTTACGAAACTGCTTGTGACTGGGATGACCTAGGTTCGAATCCTCCCATATTTTAGCACCTTTCAGCATATTACCTGAGTATATATTCGTTGAATATGACATCTCGTGGTGCAGCTGTCACCTCGAGATGGCTTGATGGTAAGGCAACTGCTTGCGGTTCTGATGACCGGGGTTCGAATCTCCTCGTGTCTAAGCTACTTTTAGCATCATAGTTCGTTTGAAATATTGCCTGGGTAAATATTCGTTGAATATGACATCTCGTGATGCAGCTGTCACCTCGAGATGGCTTGATGGTAAAGCAATTGCTTGCGGTTCTGATGACCGGGGTTCGAATCTCCTCGTGTCTAAGCTACTTTTAGCATCATGGTTCGTTTGAAATATTGCCTGGGTAAATATTCGTTGAATATGACATCTCGTGATGCAGCTGTCACCTCGAGATGGCTTGATGGTAAAGCAATTGCTTGCGGTTCTGACGACCGGGGTTCGAATCTCCTTGTGTCTACATTCCTTTCGGCATCATTACTTTTTTTTTTATTTGTTTTTATAAATAAAGTTTTGTTTTAAAAAAACGGATGACGTCATCAACCTGAGCCTATTTAAGGTGCGACTAATTGCCGGAACGTTCTCTCTCCACTTGGCTGCCAGACTCCGGTCGGTTGACACCGTCCGATTGCTGCTCTCCACGCATTTTGACGAAGGTCAGTATTTAAGGTGATTTTGACACACATTTTCAACAATGTTAAACGTGCCCTGAAGCAATGATTATCATTGCGGTCCTGTTTCAAACTTTCTTTGCAGCATTTGAAGAGAAGCTCAGCTTGGCAGAAGGTAAGTTTCCAACTTATTTTGTCATTCCTAAACAAACGTCATGACCATCTGTGTAAATGATTTGTCATTTCTTCCTACAGGTGTGCAGTTCGAATCAAAATGGCTGACTCTGCGTATCCTTTCAACGTGGCTTCTTCAAACATTTTGTTGCAATGACCCAATTTCAACACATTTAACTTTGTTACCTTGTCTTGCAGGTCATCGAGGAGGTGTCCGGTTCTTGTCACAAGTAAGGAAAAAAAAAAAACTCAAAAAAATTCAAATTCAACTTGTCCCCTTTTTTTCTCCCCCCAGCACACAGATCACGGGTGAGGTGAGAACATGTATTTTGTCCAAAATGTCATTTGTGAAAACTGATCTGTTCACGAAACGCTATTAACTTTGAGTGTTGTGGTGTCTTACCAAGTCTGGGCCTCTGTTGCAGTTTTCCGAGGGCGCAATCACCGCAGCTGGTTGAACAAGATGGCGGCGTTCGAGAAGGGCAATTTGGGTTGGTGGACACTGCAAAACAAAATGGCTGACTAACACTTTGAATTTTTTTTTCTTGCAGGCTCGTGAAATGGTTTGGAACAATTTTTGCAAGTCAGTCTTGACAAATTCTTGAACAAATGCGATGCCTTTTTTTTCTTTGCAGGTGGGGAAAAGAAGGCATTAAATTGCGAGGTAAGATGCAAATGAACTCAGAAAATGAGATTTACGAGTGCTCACCTGTTTGCAATTTTCTTTTGACTTTGTGTGCAGGGCGGCTTCCAGTCCAATTGACGTGGTGGACAATCCTGCCCCACCACCACCCAAAAAAGAAATTAAACCACAGTATGCACTTAACCTTCCACGTGCTCACGTTGGTTTTCCCTTCTGCTCTTGTCCACTAGGTGGCGCCAAAGCATCACATATCCTGTGACCTTGTCCAGCAACCACTTTTTCCATAAAGGCTGTCAAATGGTTTGGAAGAATTTTTGCAAGTTATTGACAAATACTTGGACAAGTGCTCCGCCTTTTTTTCTTTGCAGGTGGGGAAAAGAAGATAATTAAATTCCGACGTCAGCTGCAAACGAGCACTCACCTGTTTTTTTTTTTTCTTTGCAGGTGGGGAAAAGAAGGCATGAAATTCCGACGTCAGCTCCAAACGAGCACTCACCTGTTTCCAAATTTGACTTTGTGTGCAGGGCAGCTTCCAGTCCAATCGGCATGGTGGTGGACAACCTTGGCTGTGGAAAAAAATGGAGCTGCTGGGGGAGAGTGTCAGCCCTTTGCGTTGAAAGGTGTTTTCTTTTGAATGCACTCTGCTTCGCAACCATGATTTCATTTTTTTTTCCAAAAGGTGCTGAACATGTTCATCTTCCAGCCGTCCACTTTGCCGATCGTCTTCCTCACTGTGTTACCATCTTGCGCCATTTGCTGCACAAGGGTAGGTAACTTTTTGTCTTGCAGGCATCCAGGCTGTCCTCGTTGGCCGACCACTTCTCGAAGACTCGTCGATGTCATCCTGCTTGTGACTTAAATGTTTGCCACTTGAACTCTGCAAAATGAAATAAAGCTTGTTACAAATGCAACACTTGTTTGAACTCTTCTCCTCATTCTAAAAACATT